CCCCGCCGCCGCTCTCCGCGCCCCCCGCTCCGCGCTGCCCGCCCCGCGCCGCACCGCCCCGGCCGCGGCGGAGCTGGGAAATGTAGTCCCGGAGGGATCGGCCGGGAGAGGGGATTTCAGCCGGCCAGGCTGCCCCTCGTGTCCCTGCGGAACCCTGCGGCGTTCCTACAGCATCCCACCGCATCGCCAGCACCTCCCCGTGCTCAGCATCTCCCTCCGTGCGGCGGAGGGAACTGCGGAAACTTAACCTGGAGAAAAGGAGGCTCGGGGGGCACCTTATTGCTCCTTACGACGACATCATGAGGTTGTGGCGAGGTGGGGTCGGTCTCCGCTCCCAAGAAACGAGCGACAGGACAAGAGGGAATGGCCTCACACTGCATCAGTGTAGGTTGGGCATTAGCTAACATTTCTTCGTGGAGAGGGTCGTGAAGCGATGGAACAGACTGCCCGGGGACATAGCTGAGTCCTCGGGATCCCTGCAGGGATCTAGAAGGTGTGCAGATGTGATGCCTGGGGACATGGTTTAGTGGTGCACTTGGCAGCGCTAGCTTAATGGTTGGACTTGATGTTGGAAGCCTTTTGCAACCCAAATGCTTCTAAGACTCTCTGGATCTATCCCCCTGTGATCCCCAGCATCCTCACAGCATCCCACCAGCATCTCTCAGCATCTCCTATTGCCACTGTTGGAGCCCCACAGCTTGGAGTTCTGTCCCTGCATGGTGCAGGGTGAGCTGGGTGTTTCCCTCTGCTGGGACAGTTGTGGTGATCAATGCCAGCCCCGCTCCTTTTATTTCCTGGAAACCCAGGGCAAATTCAGTGCTCATCCAGTGGGAAAAGCTGAGAACTGCAGTGCTAATGGACAGCACACACATCTTGGCAGCTCAGTGCGGGCAGCACCGGCCCTGGGAGTCCCACACTGTGCACTCTGCCATCCCCCCCTGTGCCAGGTGCCATCTGAGGAGGACATTTGCAGGTGGAGGGCTGAGCACGTTTGCCAAGTAACTGTTGTCCCTCCCTTCTCCCCTCCCTCATTGCCAATTTTGGCCAAAATCTGTAGTATTCTTCCCCATGGTTTCATTCCCTCCCAAGCCAGTGTAATTCCATGCCATGTGCTGGTACGATGGCTGCACCCCACGCTGCACAACCTCCCAGTGCACCCCAAACAAGCTCCTTTGGGCCACTCTGTCTGCCAGTGTACTTCTGGAGTGGGCTTCTGGGTGTCTCCAAGGCTCCTTCTTTTGCTCTGACATACCCCAAAACCTGAGGCTGCACTGTGGCGATGCTCACTGGCCATGGCAGGGCAGAGTGCTGCTCCAGGCTGGCTCTGGGGCTCACCAAGGCAGCAGGGCACCCCTCTGCCTGCAGGCTCATGGCCGGCCCACCTCTACCATCCCTGCCTCACCAGCCCGTGCTGCTGCACCTCCAGAATCAAACAGCATTGGCCCAGATTGGTCAGAGCCCGTTACCATCAGAGCCAGGCATGCCAGTGGGAAAAAATATGGGCCAACAGAATCACAACCCCATGTGAGCAGGGCACCGTCCCACTGCCCACACCCTTGGGCTCCTCCTGACCCACATCTGCTCCTGGGGAGCCAACTTGCCACCAAAATATGCCACAGGCAGATGCAACTCTGCAGAGAAGTTCCCTGGAATGGCTTCCATGCACCTCTGTTCTCAGTTTCAGGAAGCAGAAAAAGAGGTGGTGAGAGCAGTGCCCTGCAGTCCTGCAGCAGAAGGGTGGGAAGGGAGCAGAGGTGGTGGGCAGCAGGAGCAGCAAAGCTTGCAGCAAGGCTGCCCACTGTGTCAGCTGGGCAGTGTGACCCTCATGCAGCATTGAGACCTGACCGGGCCTGTCTGCATCCATTGTGCTGTGACGCCACAGATCCTGAAGTGCATTGGAACTGCAAAGCCTCTGCCTGCTGCATGGCACTGCTCTGCCACATCTGGGTCACTGTGCTCAGCTTTCTGCTTCATGCAGTGTAAATAACCATCAGACCTGTGGCCGTGGGCAAGCACTGGCAGGGCACATTCCCAGCCTGCAGCAAGCATCCCTCCCTTCCCTGCATGCCTGGCTCTGCTGCGCCCAGGGCTTGGCCCTGCCATCTGCTGCCCTGGCCGGAGATGCCCTCCTCACTGCGCAGCACATGGCACTGCAGCTATTGCTCTATGGGTATTTGTGCAGCCCTTCTGTAGGAATCCCACTCACCTCACGTGCCACCAGCAGCCACACGGGAGCCAGGACCAAACCCCTGGCAGAGGGCTGCTCTGGGAGCCCCATTCCCAGGATGTTTTCCCTATTACAGAAATGCAGAGGAGGGTGTTTGTGTTTCCAGCCAAGGCTGCAAAGCCTCACTTACCACTGCTCTGCTCCCAGCACCTGGATTGTGCCCGGCCACAGCTGGGCAGCACAGCTCACAAGCACACACAGGGCTGCACGCTGCACCCCGCTGCTCACAGAGGGGCAGGGAGGCATTAAGGTGCTTTGCAGATGATTTTGTTCTCGCTCTGCTATGCACAGCCAAGGCCTCAAGCAGAGCAGCTTCAGCATGCCCTGGCTGTGGGCAGCTGGCAGGGGAAAATTGCATTAGAATGGTATTAATTGCCTTAGTGCAGCAGGACAGCTCACTCAGAGCCTGCAGAGCCCAAGGGATGCATGAGGTCAGGGGAAGCCAAAGCTCTGCTTTGTCCCAAGGCTTTGCATCAGCACAGGAAACGGATTGTCCTGGAGTCTGTGCAGACCTCATCCTTGGAGATATCAAAGCCCAACCAGGTGCAGCTGCTGGGGATGGCGAGGTGACCCCGAGAGGCTTCAGCCTTGCTGGGTTTGTTCTGAATGACAAGTCCTTTCTTTTCTTTGTGGTGACGTCACATCGGTCTGCCCATGGGGCTTTTAAACTGACCCTTTCCTTCTATCTCAGTTTTGGGGCAGAAAGGTCCCATGCAGGGTTCCCTAAGGGATCCCAAAGTCCTGCAGCATGCTGGCTTTCTTCTAATCCCTGCTCTCCCAAAGCCCCTGTACGGAAATCACTACAACGATGTAGCACCAAAGCCTGAGGTCCATAAAAAGTGGATGGCTCACTTCAGGTCCCAGTCCTTCCAAGTGCTGAAGCAAAAATGCAATGAGTGTGAGCTCTGCCTGCAGAAAAGGGTTTCCCACTGGATTTAAATTTTGTAGTCCATGGTAATCCCCTTCCCCAAGGCTGTTCTTGTGTGATTCTTGGGCTGCTGTGGGAAAAGCTGTGCCAGGCACTGAGCAGCTGCTCACCCTGTGCCAAAACCTGGATCATGGCATCAGCTCCCTGAGCAAAGTCCCCACTGCAGGCACTGGAGCCAGGAGAGCAGGGCATTCCGTGGGGCTGTGCAGATGGATGGGATGGGGTAAATCAGTAACTGCTGGTGACTCGTGGTGCAAGAGAACATAAGCTGTACTGCTCTCTGGCTTCCTCTACCTGCAGCAGGATCAGGGCAGTGACACTGCCACCACCAAATGCCAACCCTTGCAAGTGAAGCCAGTGCTTCCAAAACTTGTGCAAACTTCGTGGGGTGAGCAGTAGGTCCTGATGGCAGCTGGACATGCTGTGTATAGGGCACTCTGAGCCTCAAATACCCAAAATACCAAATACATAGTAAAGCCCTCCATCTGCGACATCTCTTGTCTGAGAACCACATGAATTCCTGTTAGCCATCAGCACAGGCTTCCAGCTTTGTTCTGGGATCCATTTGAGACCCTCAGCCCTTCAAGGATGCTGCACACACAGCAGGGATGTCCCACATGCCATTGGGTAGATGAGAAAGAAGTCCTACCACCTCCCTCAAGGCTCCACCTCCTGCAGTGAGACCTTGCCAGCACAGCCATTAGTCCCTGCTGTAGGTGTCTGTGGAGGGCAGTGAGAAATCTGCATTGCCCTGCACAGAAAGCACAGCAGCTCAGCACCTGCTGTTCCCCAGCCCAGGTCCAGGAGGAGATGCACATAGAGCTGTGTGCTCTACATGGAGGACCAGCTGAAGATGCCCTACACTGCATTAGTGATCCATGAGCTGCAGCTTCCAGCCAACCCACCTCAAGAACCTGCTGCAGACATGGAGTTCTGGGACCACAGCATCCCCAGGGTGATGTAGTGGTCCTCTGTGCCCCCGAAGGGCTGGTAGAGGAAGTTTCACAGTAGAACTTGCAGTAGACTGCTGGCTCACTCCAGAAGGTCAGAGAATCACAGAAACACGGAACATTCCCAAACAGGTAGGGATCGATGGGGATCACTGCATCCAAACCCCCGCCCCACACAGCAACATCCAAACCCTGTGGCAGAGAGCAGCATCCCAGCACTCCCTGAACCCCAGCAGATTGATGCACCTGCCAAAGCTTTTAGCATCCCAGAACAGTCTGAGCCAGGAAAACATTCACTTTGGTTTACCTGATTTGATTTTTGATATTTCTGGCAATACCAGAGAGTCAGATCAGGTAAATGAATGAAGTATATTATCATTATCTGGTAAATGAATGTCAGGAACACACTGCTTGCTGCAGAACACAGACCCCAACCTGCAACCATGGGGAGTGGAACTCCAGCAAAATGCTTTCAGCTGGGGCAGGAGCACCAGAGCCAACAAAGGGGCTGAGTCACAGCCAGGCTGTGCTGTGCTTCAGTGCTGTGCAGCAGATAAGGAGTGCAGCCTGCTGCCCGGCTGCTGGGCTCAACTCCTCCATGTCTTGCACTCAGTGTTTGTCCCTGGCACGTACCCCCAGGTGCGGCTCAGCACGGTGCAGATGGAGAACTCCCTCCAGGTTTTGCTTTTGGAAGCAGATGGCAGAGCAGGGCACGGTCACGGCTGTCTGCAGGGAGGTGGGGATGTCCTTTGGGGTCCCTGTGTGGTTTTGGTGGTTGCTCGTACCTTCCTGCCTGCGCGGACCAAGAAACCTATGACTTAATGGCACAGTCAGGCACGCGGGGCACATGCAGGTGTCCGGTGCTGAGTTTACCGCGTCAAAGGAAAACAACGCCATGGCGGAGCTGGAGCCCTGCTTTCCTCCAAGCGGCAGAGCCCTGCAGCCCACGAGAAGCGGGCACAGCACAGCCCTGGCCTCTGCCCAGCACGCACGGAGCTGCCGTCCCTCCTGCTGGGTCCGACCCCGCACGGACGATGCTCGCAGCACCGACCGGCGCGTCGCGGTTCCCCGGCAGCGCAGCGCGGTGTCCCGGCAGCGCGGGGCGGGGCGGACCGGGATGGCGGCGGTGCGGGGCTGCGGGTTCGATCCGCGCCTCGGCACTGAGCGGGGCCGGGGAGCAGCGGGGTCAGGAGGCACCGAGCTCCTCCTCCGGGCAGGTGGGAGGACGGGGCTGCGGTTTGTCGAGAAGGGAAGCGGCTGTGTTTGCCTTAACGTTACCTGGGGGACGGCGGGGAGGTCTGTCGTGCTCTTTTCTGCTGCAGCGTCATGACAAAGACTTATTTCTACTGAAGGAAATCTGATGGCTAAAGCAGGAGTACCCCACTCAGAAAACATCCCTTAACAAGAGGCTGTTTTGATATTTCCAGGACAGAAAACCCTCCCTTCACCTCCCTGCTTCCCCCTTCCCCCCCCCCAGTGCTGCTAATTGGGAAACGTCCCATTTGCACGGAGAAAACTGTAGGACTTCACTCCCACCAAGCTCAGCCCTGGCTGCACTGACAGCTGTCCCGTTGCTGTCTGTCCCTTCCAATGTCTTCTAGGTAGGCAAACACCAGCAGTGCGCTTCTGTCCCCCAGCTGCCAGCTGCCCCATCCCAGAGGGCCCTGGTGCAGAGGTTGCTTTGCTTACTGCATCCTCAGCCCATGGGGACATCCCTCCCCGTCCTACGTCTCTCCCATCACTTTCTCGTGTCACATACAAGGACTTCATTCGCTGCCTGCCGGTTCATCTCTCCCAGTACATCCTGGGTAAGGTGTCTCTCATTTTCCAAGGGTGGTTTCCCCTGAGGGTAACAGGTAGCTTCTCATGTGGATGTTGTTCTCTGCCCTGTCCTCTTTGTTCCTCAGGGCTTTTGGATAACAAATCCCTTAAAACATGTGCCAGTGTGAGTAAATACTGGGCTTTTCTGGCCAAAGAAGTTGAGAAGGAGCACGTGTGCCAAAAAGCAGTACAGAAGAAAATCCTGTATTTGCAGGTATGGTGCCTGGACTTCTGCCATCATGGTGCCCTTATTTTATTCTTTCCCATGTTGTTGCCCAAACCATGAGATAGAGGTGCCTTTCTGGAGGCCACCTCCCAGCTTCATCCTATTCCTTCCCCCATCTGCAAACTTGGGCTGGATGTTCATGCAGTTTCAAGCACAACGGAATAACTTTTAGTGATGTTTAGGGAGCCTGCAACTCTGAATGTCGATCAGGACGCTCTAAAATCAAGATCTGGTGATCGGGTCATTTTAGCTCTGCCCAGTGAACTTTATTTGCTCCACATAGGATGATGGAAATGCTAGGCTTCATTGTGAAAAGCCAGAGCTGGGGGTTGGGATGCAGTACAGCAGAGCTTGGAGGAGAGGTTCACCCTGATTAGTCCAGACCAAGGTCTGCTGTGATTGTGTTGCCTCTGTTGGTTTCTTTCAGGGGTTGTGCCCTCGGGGAGCAGTCTCCAACTATGCTAAAATAGTTAATATAGCAGTTCCACAGTTAAATGAAAAGGGATGTGTCATCAAAGTGAGAGACCACAGCCCTGGAAGTAAAACAAAGGTATGTTGGAGGGGGTTTGCCTTCTGTGTCTCTTCCATCTCCGGGAGAAGGGAGGACACAGTTGTCTTGGGAAACAGAACTGTGAATTTGGAGTTCCTTTGCTCTTCTGCTTCTGGCTTGAACCACTGCAAGCAGCTCCTAAGGGCCAGTTCTTGCACGGGGGGAAGCCAGCATCCATGTCCAGAAGGATGTTCTGCTTTGTCCTAATGCTTCCCCCTAGGCACAGGAGTAGCTTTGAGGCCATAGCACTGGCAAGGCTGGGCATCATCATGGGGAACACGGCCTTCATTCCAATGGATAAAGATGGCTGCCACTGAGTGAGGCAGAAGGGAAGAAGCCTTGTTTCTGTGCTAACCAGGGAGTTACTGCATGCTGGTTGTTCTTTACTGGCACTTTCCATCTCTATTGTTCCTGCAGGGAGTAAGCTGATATGGCTAATGCTAGGGAATAGCAGTGTGTTTCTGCCACTCCTGGGTAATGCTTCCCTATTTCTTTCCACCAGGAAGACAAGGAGGAGGAAATCAAGCTGCAGGCAGCCTATCATGATCTGCAAACTGACACAATCCAGCTGGAAGAGAGGAACGTATTCTGTGGCTCCTACAGTATTCGTGTCCTCACTGACCGGTACGTGGGCTGCACCTGCCTGTTTTCTGCACTACCTCTGTAGGGCCAAACAGGGCTTCTGAAGCCCTGTCCCCTTCCTTGCAATCCTTCTGTGGGTGGATCTATGGCTGGAGAAGGGTCTTGGTGTCAGTGATAAGCAACTCACAGTATCAAATCTTTTTTTTTTTCCCCCGTAATAAAGATACCAAATGGAATCACCCTTGAAGACACAAGGGTTAGGACCCATGGTATATCACAAGGGATGTGGAGCTGGATGGAGCCCTCTCCCATTTTTAAAGCTTACCTTCCAGATATGAACCTAGGAATGCAGAATGAGGACCATGGTTGTGGTGCTCTGCAAAGGATCCACATCCTCAGCAGGCTGCCTATCAGGTTGCTCTTTGAGGATCACTCAGCACTGAGTACTGCTAGAGCTTGTTAACTGGCAAAAGCTCATCTCAATCACTCTTCTTCATCCAGATCAGACCCAAACAGAGTAATCCACTATGCTGGGGGAGACTTGGTAGCCATTGGTTCTGCAGATCGAAAAGTGAGGATTTTTAATGTGTTGTCAATGAGAGAAGTGCCACCTCTGCTCTCTGGGCATGCTGGAAGCATCAAAGCACTGCTGCTTGATGAGAAGAAAGGGCTCCTTCTTAGCACGAGCTGCGATCTCAGCATCAGGTGAGCAGCCCTGGGACTGTGCCCTGGATCCCACCTCCCTGGAAATCTAAGAAATTAGAGCTTAAATCCTTCCACTCCAATCTTTATGAATCCTCCTGACCGTCACTTTCACCGTAGTAATGAAGTAAAGCCGATAAATTAAACACATCCACCATAGGACCGCTTCTGTTCTCCAGTTCCACCCAATACTGAACGATAAAGTCGGAAGATGCTTTCATACAAGCTGTGTATCACTGTACCTTAAAGCACCAGGGCTGAGTGTGGTAGGTGCCAGCAGTGAGGTTCTGCACCTGCTGAGGTCTGCACCAAGTTCCTCCATGACGCTGCAGGAGGTTTGTTGTGCTGAGCAAACCCGGCAGCCTGCTGCTGGAGTGCAGCTGCTCCTGCCCAGGTCCTGTGTGTTGACACAAGGGGGTGGAGATGAGCAGCTGCTTCATCTTATTTACCACTGAATCTCAGGAGTGTTACACCGAGGGGTGAAAAGCTCGAAAGCTCTGGCATGGCGCATGCACAACATCCACAAAAACAGCATTTAACAATAAGGGACGAGTGATTCAGGCTCTCCTGCCTGCCCTTCCCCTCCCCAGGAGTGTTGTTTGTTGAGTGTTCTCAAGACAAAGTCAACCCAAATCATTTTGGTACCCACCAGCAAAGAAATAACCTTATCTGTAAAGCTCTCCGTCTGAAGGTCAATCTGACACAGCCATGCCAGAGCTGAAATCCAACTGCAAATTTCCAGGCAGTTTGAGGATGGAAGGGCAGACAAAAAGTAAAAATGTAATGTTAAGCCTGATTTGATTGTTCTGAATCCCTCATTAACTCACTGGGATGTCTCCTGATCTTAATGTAGCGTGGATTTGAGAAGAGCTGGGCCTGTTAAGTAGGAAGTAATTAATCATCCATAAATGATATCATTAACCACTGTATTTCCTTTACCATATAGATGCTGGAATATATATAGTGGTGCTTGTATGAAAATCTTTACTGGTCACTGCAGGACCATCACCTGCTTGGATTTACACAGCAAGAAGTTTGTGTCGGGGGGCACAGATGGGATGGTGAAAGGTGAGAGCCAAAGCTAGGAGCTGTGCAGCCAAGGGAATGGCAGAGAACTGGGGAGTTCTGGAGTGATACATGTGATAGTCCAAAGACAAGTGTATTAGGGTGGATTTTTATTCTTATTGTTGATTATTTTGTTTTTTTTTTTAATGGCTGTGTGGCTATAGGGCCAGAACAAATCTCATTAAAGTGGTACAGCTTGCATTTGCAGATTAAGCATTGAAACGATGTGCCATGGTCAGGGCTTTGTATTTAAAAGGTTTGCTTTGTAGTCACACTCTTCAAGTCAACACCTGGCTCCAGGCAGAGCTGCAGGTACAAGGGGCAGATCCTTTTAATTCATACAAACAAACCAAAACCATCCAGTAGGGACAGATAATTGTCAGCATTTCTCCTCTTTAATCCTAACAGTGTGGAACTTGGACAGCGGGGTATGTCTTAAGACCCTGAAACACAGCAATATTGTTTATGCTGTTAAAATGGATGGAACCCATGTTGTCAGTGGGTGTGACAGAGGGCTGGTGAAAGTCTGGCATGCTGGCACAGGCACTCTGCTCAAAGTAAGTTTCTCAGGTGGATAATCCTGTGCTACTTTATTGCACTAGTTTATCATCGCCCCCGAGACTCTCTAAAACCAAAGCAAAGCAAAGAAATAACAGAGAGTCCAAACTGATAAAAGGAACGGCAGAATTGTTGGTGAAAGAATAATATAAAAACTGGTTTGCAAATATCTAAGTTCTTATCTGGGATATTGCCTTGTATTCAAGCCCCTTCGTTATTTAAACTTTGTAGGTACATTTATCTCTGCTCAGCTGGAAGCATTGAGAACCTGAGAGGGGCGTGGGAGGGCTGGACTAGCAGCTTCCAGGGTTGGAGGTGTCGTGGGTTATCCAGAATAGGAAGTTTGTTGTTCTCAGAAGCAGCAGCAGTTTATAAGAAGCTGGGCGGCTGCTCTGCAATGTAAAGGTTGAGGCCAGAGTCTGCTAATTAGCTTTGCAGGTGTCCAGAAGCAGTATGAATCCAGACTTCTGAGAGGAATGGCATTGAGCTGCAAATTGAGTTGCACCTTGAGAGCAAGATAACCCATCTCACCTGGGCTCAGACTGTAATTGCCCCTTCCACCACAGTCAGTTTCTCCCCTGTTTCTTTTACTCTCAGCAACTTGAAGGGCACCTAGGCCCAGTGAGGTGCCTGTCCTTTGATCAGTGGCACCTTGTCTCGGGAAGCAGTGACGGATACGTCTTGGGATGGAGCATGGTGGGAGAGCTTAAGAGGTGCCTCACGGCTTTCCGCCACCCGAAGTAAGTGTCCGTGTGTTCCAAAGTGTATTCTAAAGCATGCTGTAAAAAGAAAAACAATAAGTCTCCCTTACAGGAACACAAAATATCTTACAATGGTCAATGCTGGAATGTGAAATCTCCTTTTCCAACTGTCCTCCATCTAAAAAGTGTTAGGCAGGGCATGGTCATAACCAACATTTGTCAGTTGTGAAGATCTGTGACAAGCTAGAATACAAATACACAGCTGCTGGCTCACAAACAGAAGTGACTGAAGACAGAGACAGTGCATAGTCCAAAATTTGAAGGATCCCAGCCTTCACTCAACTGGGTGTCATGCAACTTGGTCAAGAGTTGACTCTGTGTTGCTCATGGTGGCTGCATTGCATGCTGAACCCCACCTGCTGCATATTAGATCAACTTGTGGTACTTGCTTGTTACAACTACGAGAACCACAGCATCTTATTGTTCTATTTACTTTCCTAGACACAAAAATAAAATGTTAAAGGTGCAGACAGCTGTAATCACAGTGGTTACTCTAGGACGAGTGTCGGCTTTGCTTGTTGGCCATGGTCACTTTGTTGATCTTCACAGGACGGGTTATGAAGAACTTCTGCAGGTCTTCCAAACATCTTGATTGCTCCTGTTGTGTTTTTTAAGCCTGTTGATAGAGGCAGGGCTTTGCATCCCTTGCAAAACAAGAGGCAGTTGATCTTGTCTCCTGGTGAAGGCACGGTGACTGCACCAACGTTTGCATGTTGTGTTTTCAGGGAAGTTCTGTCTCTGGAGTTGCTCTATCTCAGAGTTGTCAGCAGTTGTGCTGATGGGAAGATCCGTGTGTTTAACTTCCTGACTGGGAGCTGCCTGAGAGTGCTGCTGGGCAGTAGCAGAGGGGATCCTGTATCTTTCTGTGCTTCCGAAAACAGGTTGGTGACAACAGCTGCAGTCAGACTGTACCAAATTAGGTAGGTTAGGTTGTAATTTCAGGAATGATGTATTCTGCCATCTCTCTCTCTTGCAAATAAGCTTTAAAGGACTCTGCTGCTTCAGGACTGCTTTGACAAATTGTTTTTTATTAACAGTGGCTGAAAATGATTTGTTTGGTTCTTTCAGCAGTCTAAAATTTCCCATTTCTGTATGATTTAAGATAAAATCTGAACTGTAAAGCTGAATTCAAATTACTGAGAGGCTGGAGAAACAAGCCAAGGACTGACAAAGCCTTTGCTCACTCCCTGACCCGTCTCAGTAGAAAAGCCAACAATGGAAAATGCTTCCAGGTTCCTTCATATCTGCAACTCTAAAGGTGGCTCCCAACTTCTGGATAAGTGAGAGCTGAATCACCAATGTGCTCTGAACACTCTTTTGGTCATGACCCTAAAATGCAGCACTAGGAAGAAAACTAACTCCATCCCAGCCAGTCCCAGGACACCCCCCTACGTGAGGTTTAAAGCCCCTGATAACACGGTGTCTCCAATTTCTTGTGGCATTACGTTGGTCAAATTCAGTCCACTGTTGGGACATTTTGATTTTATTTCCTTAACTTTCATCCTTCGAGGCAATGAATTTACCATAAGTGGGATGAGAGGAGCTGTGCAGAGCTCAGGCAGACGACGTGAGTTAGAAGTGCGGTACGTGATTGACGGGACTAATTGCTACTGCTTTTTTCTTTCCCAAAGAAGTGATCATTTTCTCAGCTCTGTTTAATTACCCTCAGGGTTTGTATTAGACAGAAGCAAACCTGTTAGGCAGTACCTGCTGCGTTAATGATATTCTTGCTTTTAAGAGCCTCCCCTTTCCTCCCCCAGGATGGTGATCAGTGCACCCAGCAGCCTGCTGATGTTCCAGTTTGAGGATGTCACGTGGGACTACACGCTAGGAGCTGAGCGAGAGCTGGTGTGGAAGCAGAAGCAGGAGAGCTGCCCTTTGGGCACAGCATTGACTCCCTCCCAGCAAACCAAGAGCCACATTGCCAGCCAGATGCGTCGCCTGAAGATACGAGGTGCTGGCCTTCTCGTGCTTGATCCGCTTGCCAAAATGTTCTGGAGTGCCTCAAAGCACTAGATATGGCCTTTGCAGTGCTCTGGCATGGTTTGCTGAAGTGGGTTAGAAATAGCATCAGGTACCTGCTGTCTTCATATGCAGGCTCTTCACTTTTTGAAGTGCAGTAGACATACTGCTGCATTTCAATGGGTCTGTCGTTTCCAGGCTTTTGTAAAACCTTTGCACCTTTTTAGAAAGGTCTGATATAAATTCAGCTTACTTAAGACAGTTTCTGTCATTTTCCAGCTGAGTAATCCATCAGTGATATTATTCACGTCCTGACAGCTGGTGTGCATGGAAACATGCTGCTGATTCAGAGCCTGAATTATTAAAATCCCCAGAAAATCATAGGACACCTGCATCCAGAACTTGCCATCACTGGGATATGCAATTGCACATAAGCAGGCACCTTTTAAATGATCATATTGTGGTGTGATTTTTGAGAAATCAGCAGTTATTTGATACAGTACCACAAATCTACAATCAAACAGCACAGAAGCAGATGAGCTAGGTAGGGAAGTTTTCATAGCATGAATTGCTAACTTCCTTGAAGCAGCTGTGCCTGGTGCAGGACGTGCAGTGGGCAGCAACAGGAAGCAAATTGATTGTTTTAATTGTAGTGGCAAAAATCTGGGTGGTGTATATGCACACCTAACTCTGAACATCAGCACTTACTGCCACCTTTGGCTCCTGTGATGCTTTCTGTTAATCAAACACGAGTGGGTTGTTTCCAACATCCAGCTATGATAAGAGGCAAAGCAGTGGCCAGAGACTTCAAGTCTCATAATTTACGAGGATTTTTGTTTTAAATGGAAGTTTAACACCAACACAGCTTAGAGATGATGTATTCTTCTGCTTTCTAGCTCTGTGCAATGAACTGATAAAACCTGCAGCTTGCCAGCAACAGGAGCATTTGCTTGAGAGCAGGAGGTCTTCTCAAATCCAGGCAGAGCAGCAAGAGCTTTTTGCTCCTGGTAACAACCAGCCCCATCCTTTTGCTTTGGGACAGCCAGCAAAGGCATCTTCTGTAAGGAACCTGGCAGATGCTGGTGAGAACTTGTCATAGCACGGTAGGATGTTGGCTCCTTGAATGAGTGCATCTAAGACAAATGAATGGATTAAACAAGAAGTAATGATCTGTAGGAGACAGGCCAATTCCGGATGAGAGGTTTGCAGTGGCAAAATGGATCCTTGTAGAGGGTGCAGTGGTTACAGGAGCTGTATAAGATCAATCAAATAGGGAAAGCAATCCAGTCCAATGATAAAGCCTAGCTCTCTGGTATCTTGTTTTGTTGTTTTTTTTTTCCATAACCTTATTCAAGCTGTGATTGCTTTATCACACGTAGGAGATACGTGTAGGAAATATCTTCAGGTAGTTAGTAGCTGCTAAGAAAAACATACTTAAAATAATATATGTGGAAATCATCTCAGCCAGCTTCACACAGCAAGCTGTAGTTTGAAAATGACAGCACTGAGATCACAAATATGGTCCTTGGCCATGTGGTATTTCTCTCAACTTACAGTTTCTCCCAGCATTCAAATTCAGAGTCTGTTGGATTTTTGAGTTGGGCAGACGCTGAAATCTCGCTTCAGAAGTGCTGAAACCACCAGAAGTCTTTTACCCCAAATTCAGGGTGTTTGTAACTGAGATCCAGAGCCACCCGTATGTGCAGACTGAAAAAACTGAGTGAGCAGTGATCCTCATTAGTAGTGTTCAGGCTGCTGGCCACTTTACTGGTTGGGTTCCCCAGGGCTCCATTTTGGGGCCAGTTCTCTTCAATGTTTTTAAATAATCCAGAGGTGGGATTCAACTGCATACCGAGTCAGTTTGCTGATGGTAATAAATTAGGAGGAGCTGCTGAGTCCCTTGAGGGCAAAGAGACCTTGCAGAGAGATCCTGAGCAATCACCAACTGCACGAAGTTTAACAAGTGCTGGATGTTGTGCCTGGGATGGGGCAACCCTGGCTGTAGGTACAGGTGGTCCTTGTGGGTCCATTCCAACTCAAGATTCTGTAATCAGTCTGTTTTGCTGTGTTCTGCCTTTGCAAATTAAGCTTATTATTCTCTGAAATATATTTCCAGAAGGCAGAAGTATCAGTTAACCAGCTTAAAAAAAAAACAAATAAACAAAAAAGAGCCAAGCAGTGATGTGCAAATGGCATCACACTGCTTTGCAAGGTGACAAATGAAGTGTTAGAGTGAGGCCATGGCTCTGAGCATTGTACAGTCTTTGCTGAAATCCTAGTTTAGTTCTCAATTAAAGGTGTAATAATGAATCCATCCTGATGTGTCTGTTAAACATGCAAGTCAGCCTTGACATCACTTCAGACATCAAAGCTAGAATGCAAAATGTGTCCTGTGATTTCAAGCTCAAGTGCAGGTCTGGGTAGAAGTACTTCATAGTGGTTCTCAGATGTTGGCTCTTTCACAGATTTCTGCTGGGAAATGACTTCTCTTAAAGCCATTTCCCAATACACAACTGAAGGACAAGAAAGGGGTACACGGGAAGCCAAGTTGGGTTGGATATCAGGCCACCCCCACACGAATATGATGTATTTTATAGAATCTGGCATTCATTTGACTGGTACGGAACTCCTCTGGTACAGATCACTCCTCAGGTCACCAGGACAGAATTCTCTCTGATACTGGCAGTGCTGCTAGCAAGGCTAAGAATGAACAAACCAAAATGGGCATCGTTAGCACATTGCTGCCTGTGTTGCCTGTTGTGTAGATCAACTTGGACTGTCCATATGCCTACCAACACAGCACCTGTCCCTGGTCTTACCTGGGGTACTTCCATGCAGTTAATGACCTCAGACAATGTTCTTGACTCCATTTATGCTCGGTGTTGTTTTGTTTTTGAAAACAGATGGCGCATCTGAATACGGCACTTCTGTACTTGCACATCCTGACAGACAGCAGGGAGAGAAAAAGGGCTCACTGTCCTCTAACAAGCTCCTCTTGACTGTCAGCATGCTGCAGAAGAGTGGCAAGCCATCCTTTGTCCGCTCCTCTACAAAACATCCTGCAGCAACCGGGAAAGCATTGGAATGTCTGCTGCAACAGCAACAAAAAAGACAAATATACACAACCCCTCTGCAACAGAAAAAGGATCTGGCAGCCCAGTTCCAACGTGCGAGATCTCACAGTGATTCTCTGACTATGAAAAGGAGTTCTGTACCCTTTGAAACGAAAATGTTGCAACTCAAGCTGAAAAATTCTTTGCATGGGCCCACTGTGAATTCCTCCATTCCTGCTCCCTGCATTGTACGTCTCAAGACTTGCGGTGCTTCGCTACAAGGAAAGAAAGTTCATGGTGCTCACAGTAAAGGCACTTCTCTCCCTGAAGACAGAGTTCAGCACAGTGGTACAGACCGTACAGCTTCTGAACAGATCAAATCAACACGTGTGATGATCCCACAAATGAAAAACGAAGCAGTTTGCAGGGGAAAAAAACCCTTTTGTCCACACGCTGCAGATCCTTCCCAGGCTGACAGTGGGTTCAGACTTCTGACAGGACAGCAAAAGGAGGCACGTGCTGCAGCTGCTGTAGCTCAGTGTCAGGCAAAGCAGGCAAAGCTCGTAGAAGATCATCAAAGAGCACGCAAGAAGGCCTGGTTAAGGAAAGCTAAAGGCCTACCTACAGTCTCTTTTACTAAGGAGGGGAAGATATTTGCTCCTGAACTTGGACATAATACATTTATCTGAGGTAACCCATTAGTCCAACAGATCACCAGCATCTGATGTCTCTAATGTCACGGCTTCCTTGGGTATCCAGCTGAGCCCTTCTGTGGTTTCTGTGTTAGTATGAAAGGTGTCTCTGCTGTTCCAGTGAGATATTATTGGTGCTTTCAGCACTTTCTCAAGGCAGTGAATGGAGTGACTCCTCTCCTGGGTTTTAAGTTGCTAGATCTGTCGTGATTATAGACACAGCACATTCAAGACTAATAGACCAAAGATATGGCTCAACTGTTTGAATAAAAATTCTTTTTGTTAGAGTTTGTATAGACTGATTAGAGTTTATAAGCTAAAGAAGTATGGGCTGGATAAATAGACAGCAAGATGTACAGGAATCTGGCTGAACAGCCAGAACTGGAGGGTAATCAAGTAAGGTCTGCGCCTGGGTTGTGGCAAGCTCCACTACCAATACAGGCTGGGGGATGTGAGGATGGAGCACAGCCCTGCAGAACAAGTCCTGGGGGTATTGGTGGATGGCAAGCTGGGCATGAACCAGCAATGGTGCCCTCACAGCCCAGAAAGCCAATTATATCCTGGGATGCATTCAAAGCAGCATGGCTAGCAGGGCAAGGGAGGGGATCTGCCCCTCTGCTTTGCGCTACAAAACCTCAGCTGGAGTACTGTGTCCAGATGTGGAATCCTCAGTACAGGAGAGACACGCAGCTGATGGAGAACATCCTGAGGGCTGTGAAAATGGTCCCAGCAATGGAGCACGTCCCTTATGGGAGTCCTGCTGCCTGCCAGCCAGGGGAACCTGGCCAGGCTGGAGCAACAGGCTGGAGGAACCTCATGGAGATCAGCATGGAGAAGTGCTGCTGGGCTGTGGTCCTGGGCCCATGCTGGGGTGTCCCTGCCGGAGCAGGGCTGGGAGCAGCCGGTCCCAGAGATCCCTCCAGCCTCAGCTGTGCTGTGGTGGAGCTGCCATCAGTGCTGCACAGGAACAGCAATGGCAGTGCAGGGGAAACATTGGGATCTTATTCTCAGACCTTTCCTTCTGTACTTTCTGGTAGTACAGAACAGCAGAACAGTTCCATCAGCCATATGCCGGTAGAAGGGTGCATAACAAATCCAAAGCTTGTAGCACTGCCTCAGAAAAAATAACTGCTGCATTTAACCAAACTGAACGGGTGGCTTTACATTCCTTTATTTCTGGGGGTAAAACAAGTGTTCGTGTTTTCCGCTAGTCCAGCTCCTGATAAGACAGAGCAGTGTCCGTTGTCTGGCCCTGGACATTGGGGCCAGCGTGCTGGAAACATTATTTTCTCGCATGAGAGGTTTGAGGCCGGGCTGTGGCAGGAGGGCTGCAGCTGGACGGAGCGGCCGTGCCCAGCCCTCACAACTCACGGCACCGCGGCCACGGCTGGGCGCTCAACAGACCCCGCCCCTCCCCCACGACCTTCCTCTGGCGTCAGAGCCGTGTCCAAGTGCGCAGGCGCGGCGCTGCGACTCTCGCGAGATTGGCCGCGGTGGTGACGTGGCGTGGCCGGAAGTGGTGGTGAAGCCGGAAGTGGTGGTGAAGCCGGAAGTGGTGGTGAGGCCATGCTGCGGCAGGTGAGGGCTGGGGGCTGCGCGGAGCTCGGTATGGCCGTGGGGCTGCGCGGGGTTCCTCTGGGCTCGGCCGTGGGGCTGCGTGGGGCTCGGGTGTTGCGCTCTGTGGGTGCTTGGTGGCTGCTACGAGCACTGTGTACAGGGAGGAGCGCAGAGGCTGAGCTGGCTCCTGGCTGAGGGGAGCACGATCGAGGCGAGGAGGCCTCGCCGCTCCTCCTGCCTCTCTTCAGCACGGGAGGCGCTGCCTGAATTAGCAGTCGTAGGAAAATCCGGTTCCTGTGTCTTTTCCTTATAGCGCTTGCTTCGTGTTTAAATCTCTAGGCGCCATCCCAGCGCTTCAGTGTAATCAGAAGTGACCCGGGTTGAAGTCGAAAAGCGATTCTCTTTCTCTTGTAACTCTGCGCTTGTTCCTCTCGTTAGGGCAGCAGTGATGACATTGAGGATGTCTCTCTCTTTGATGCCGATGATGAAGTATCCAGGAGATCAAAAAAGTCAAAAATAAGGTCAGTGACCTGGAGAGAGTTTATAGATGAGTTCTGGAGAAGGAGGGACTGTCCCATCCTGTTGTTTCAGTTGCTGGACACTGACAAAACGACCCTGGCCCCATTTTCTTGGCTGCTGTATTGTGTTGAAATACATAACAGCTAATATTTTTGTTTTGTTAGAAAGAATAGTAACTTTAGTAACTTCTGCTTAGCTGAGAGAGGTAGTTGCAGAAGCTCAGCTGGAATCCATGTATCTGTGCCTTTGTGCTTCTGAGTGTCCCCACATTAAATGTGTGTACACGTTACTGTCTCTGAGCTCTCTGTAGCAGGTGGCTCTCACTGTGCCAAGTGCTGCTGTCTGGGCTGGCCTGTTATCTCCTTGCCAGTCTCTGTTTCCTAGTGTGAGTGGCACTGCCCTGCTGCCTGCCACGTCCTGCTGTGGTCACACCAATGTTGGGCAGAAGCACCAGCACTTCTGCATAAGGTTTGCTAATCCTGAAAGAAAGTACGTAGAGATGAGCTCACATTCATTGATTTGTTGGGGAGGTACTCATGTTACTGGCAGCAGCTGGCTGATCAGTGTCTGCCAGGCCTTCAGTACCAGCAGTGACCGACCAGTATCGTGTCTGCCCTGAGATTTCCTGGGGACATACATGTAGCAGCAAGCTGGCAAGATGTCTGCTGTGAGCCCTTGATGCTGTGCCCATATATATAACAGTCACAGACCATAAAGCATCAAATATCAGGATTAGCAATCATTCATAGAAAGCAAGGAGAATAATGTACAGCTACAGAGCATTTTCTCACTAATATGCTTTTTCTAGCTATAAGCAGAAGCTGGAGGTGGTATACTTGCATTCCCAAGCTAACGTGAGCCCTTTCCTACACAGCAGTCATTTGTTCAGGCCATGATCTCTGTTTTCCCACACAGCCGGTAGTCTGAAATCCTGGTGTGGTGATGTTGGCTCTACTGTACATTTCTGAACAGGGCACTGCACAAGTCAGAAAGGAGGCATGTCTGTTGTGTGATGCAGCTCAGTTTGCTGTTTCTCGTCAGAACCCTCTTTAAATTTACCTCAAAAAAAATTGTCTTATGTTGAACATGAGGTTAAATAAATACTTGGCTCCTTCATCCCTAGATTCACATTGTGTTGGTTATGTCTGTGAGTGGAACCTTTCCTCCTTAGGATAATCTCCCAGTTAACTTTTTTTTAGCCCATATTTTCAGCAATAATAACACTGGTTTCATATAATAATGCTGATCCTTATTCTTGGTGGGAGAGGATCACTTTGCAACGTTGTTTCTCTGAAATTGCTTCAGTCCTGTCTGAAAGAACTGTGACGGTGCTGTCCTTCATTCCAGGCATCCAGTGGCATCATTTTTCCACCTGTTCTTCCGAGTCAGTGCGATAGTTGTCTATCTGCTCTGTGAGCTCTTAACTAGCAGCTTTATTGCCTGCATGGTGACAATCATCCTTCTCTTGTCGTGTGACTTTTGGGCCGTAAAGGTAAGTTCCTCTCATGCTTTTTTGTTATCATGTCTAACCTATAGGAATAATTGAGTAAAGTGGTGTTTGTTCCACAAAAAAAGAACCTTCTTTGTGCCTTTCCAACAAAACTATACCTGAGATGCACTCAAGTACTGCAGGAAACAGCACTGTGTAGCTGATTAGCTGCTTTCTTTTTGAAAATCAAATGGAGATCTGTAGCAGACTTATTCTTTTTAAGGCAGCACAGGCTTCATTTTTAGAAAGGTCACTTCTGAGTCACCAGTATGTGTCATTTATGTTAGTACAGCAATTTGTTGTTGTGCTGAGTGTATCAGAAAATGGGTTTGGATATGAGAGCCTCGTGGTCTTGTTTGCCCACATGAAGCAAATGAGCAACATTGCAAATAGCAGCCCAAACAGCCAAGCTTTGGCAGACTCAAGAGCAGTGGAATATGAGGTCTTTGCAGGGTGTGATGCTTCTCTTTCTAAAATACAGCTAGCATTGTAACTTGTGCAGCCACTGAGAGCAGATTGCTGTGAAACCAGCAGCTGCCAATATAAGAAAGGGAATTTGCTGCCTGGAGAACTGAAAGCTTCTGAAAGAGCTAACAGCAATAAAATCTGGGGCTGAAAAACCATAATTTCTTGTGGGTGCAGCGTTGAGGTGGAGTATTCCCAAGGATTCGTTTGGCTGATGGTTTCTGCTGGTGGCGAATTGAAGCCTCTTTGCTTTCTGTCTTTCAGAACGTCACAGGGCGGCTGATGGTTGGCCTCCGCTGGTGGAATCAGGTGGATGATGATGGTAGAAGTCACTGGAAATTTGAATCTAGAAAGGTAAGTCTTCCTTTAGATGTTTCAGGTTTACCAACCCCCTGTTAATTACCAGTTATGTTTGTGGTGGTGAATTGCAGAGTTTAGAGCTCCCAGCCGCAGGTCTGTAACCGCTCGCTTGTTTCATGGTGGTACTGAAGGATACCATCATCTTTTATGTTTTTTTTGCTTTCTTTAAAAGCCAGATCAAGACTTGAGAAAAATGTTTGTGTAACTTCATTTTCACATAAAATGTTGTAAAGGTTCCCAGGCCTTATCAAGAACACTGAAATGTTCTGGTGTGAGCACAGAACAGCTGACGTATCTTTTACTTCCCGTAGAAGATCATTGGAACTAGGCAAAACAATCCAGCATTGCTCATAGCATTACTGCTGCCCTGTGTTCATTCTGCCTGCTGCTGTGTGTCTGATCTGCCTTCTGGTGGCACCTCGTGTCCTGTCAGTTACCCTTTTGATCCCTGCCTGTTGTCTCTGTGTGCACAGGGGTAAGAGCACTTCTGGTGCACAGATGTGGAGTGAGGTAAAAGTCATTGCCTGTGCTCACATTGGAAATCTACAGTGGTGCAGAGTCTGGAACCCAAAACTTTGTCCAGATGAATTTGTGCCCCTGCAGATGA